TTTCCTTTCCTTTCCTTTCCTTTCCTTTCCTTTCCTTTCCTTTCCTTTCCTTTCCTACAAATGTTTCCAATCGCTTCAACTTGAAACAGAAAATTCGCATACAGCTAGCTTTTCTACTTTTCCCACGTTACGTTCCTTATATTTTTCTCGGTAGACTGATTCTTGACAGTGACCCGTTCACAGAATGATTAGCTAGCCCTCCCTAATTAATCAATTAATTCTGATTAATTCTAGCCCGGGCGTCCCAGAATTTAAAAAAAAGTCATTTGCACTTCCATCCTCCTCCAATGAAGATGCGAGGGCCCGCCAGTACGCACGCGCAGAAACATAACAGCACCCCCCCCAAACAAAAAAAAGAGCACCGGCCTTGGAGTCCTCACTACGCATGCGCGCCGCAGACCAGGATAATAAGCCCAGGAAGCGCCTGCGCGGACCAGGGTAGAGGGGGCGAGATCGGAGGATATCCACTGCGCCTGCGCCAGCTGTCCAGGTGGGTTCGCGCCTGGTTACCTGGAGCGCAGAGGCTACAGGTGAGACGGAAGCGCGCTCCTGGAGGGCGGGAAGGGCGGGCAAGGCGTGTGCACGTGGGCTTTTTGCGGAAAGGGGAGGTGAGGCGAAGGTAAGAGGCCAGGAAATGCAGTGGGGAAGGGGCTTGCTGAAAGAAGTGGGGCTTGGGTTGAGGATAGAGGGGGCAAGGCGCTGCGGGGGGGGGACCTGGTTTTCTTTTCAGGCCCCCCTCCTCGTTATTCTCCTCCACCCCACTTGTCCCATGGTTCCCTGCAAGACGAGAGTGCCCCTGAGCATAATCAGAGTGCACACCTGCCTACCTGCATCAGCAACCAGTTACCTGCCCGTGTTTGGGATCCTGCTTTGATTATCTGACAGTTTGCACAACATGGGTTGATTATGTCCTATCAATACAATCTCAACTTTAAACCAGTGCAGAAGTATGCATTTTCTGCATGATCGCTAATTCATCTAGCCTTTAGGGTTTTCCAACAAAATAAAGAATAGAATTCTTGATTGGCCAAGTGTGATTGGGCACACAA